GACTTACTTCTGAGTTGACCTACCCAGTAGGGTTGCCAGATTCCTCAATGGAGGTGGGGGTCCCCCGCTTCCAGGCCCTACCACCCTGCCACCAATCAGCTGGCCAGTGGGGGGGAACTTACCCTGAAAAAGAGGGAGATCCATCTTCCATGCAGCGACATGTCTACGTCACTGCCCACATGACCTGGATGTGACATCATCACATCCAGGTCATCAGGGCAATGCTCTGGTGTTTGGGCAAAAACTCTATGGTAGAAGCCAAAATTGCCCAAATACCAGAGCATCACCCCAATGTCCAAGAAGTGATGATGTCACTTCTGGGTCATGTAGTCAGTGACATAGATACATTGCTGCACATTGGATGGGCCTCCTTGCTGCTCCTGGTAATTCCCCCCACCCACCCCCACTGGTTGCCACCAATTGCATCCTGAGTTATGGAAGCCCCATGAACAAAACACAATAAGGCATGGGAGCTACACTTGCAGTGACATCAACCTCGCTTCCCTCTTGCACCAATGGATCTTCTTCCGGTTTGGTGTAGTGGTTAAGTTTGATTCCCACTTCTCCACTTGCACCTGGCTGGATGACTTTTGGGCAAGCCATAGTTCTGTCAGAGCTGTTCTTGAAAGAGCAGTTCTCGAAAGAGCTCTCTGAGCCCCACCTACCTCACAGGGTGTCTGTTGTGGGGAGGGGAAGGGAAAGGAGATTGTAAGCCACTCTGAGACACTTTAAGACACTCTGAGTATAAATCCAATCTCTTATCTCTTATTAGGAGAAGCTCTGTCACTGCAAGAGCAGTTAGTGGGAACAATTGCTCCTCTGAACAGCCCCCTGTAGCCTATCACATTTTGTTGACAATGTTCCTGTGAATTACAGCATTGGCTTGGATGTCCTGGGAAGCTTTTGAAGGAAGTAGGAGATGGGAAAGATCTGCCTCTGTCTGTGGATGTCCTTTTTGGGTTGAGAAAGTACCTAGATAGAAATAACTCTTTCTCCCTTTCTCAGAATACAAGAATTCACGGGCACCCAATTAAGTTGATGGGCAACAGATTCAGGTCAGATTTTAAAAGAAGTGTTTTTTCACTCATGCGTTTTAATTGCAGAATACACTGCCAGAGGACATAAGGATGGCCAGGAGAGTAGGTGGCTTCCACATCCAGAGGCAGCAAACCTCTGAATACCAGCACTAGGAGACAACATCAGGGCTTCTATTATCTGTTTGTTGGCCCTCCATGGAACCTAGGGCTACCAGGCCTCCCACTATGGCAGGACGTCTCCCACTGGCAGCCATCTTTGTCTGCCACCACTCTGAGCAGTGGTGGGAGAATTAAAAAAACCAGTGATGTCACCAACATCACTACATCTCTTCTGAGAAAAACCTGGATTTGAAGTAGGATAGTTCTAAGAATCACCAGAAATTCTTAAAGTTTCTAGCAGTTCCTAGAGCTACCCCACATAAACTCTGGATGTGATGTAGTGACATCACTGATGCCACATACACCACCCCCACCCCAAACCCCCCTGCTTAGGGTAAAGTGTACCCAGAGAAAAATTAAAAAGAAAAATAAGCCCCCTGTCTACTTACAGGTAGTGCTGACCATGGAGTTCCTAACGGTTACCCTTTTTTACTTCTGGATTGCTCTAGGAATTGCCAGGAACTCTATGGTCAGAACTTCCTATAAGTAGACAAGACCTTTAAAAAAAAAAATTCTCCCCAGGATGATTGTGTACTCCTGTTTGACCCCAGGTTCCAAATGCCAATGAGGTGAGCATTGGTGGCAAGGGCCGCAATTACCCAGAGGTCTCAAGTTATAATGGGAAAATGGGAATTATACTTGATTACCCATTGTATGAAACAGCATGCTGGGCTACATGGACTGCTGATCTGATACAACAGGGCTCTTCTTTTTGTTCTTATGTCAGAGGTTTGCTGCCTCAAAATGTGAAGGTTCCCTTTAGCCACAATGGCTAGAAGCCCTAACCTTAACCCTAATCCCCTTGTGAACCAGGCCATACTGATTTCACCAAGGGCACCCTCTCCATGATATCACACAGTCCTGCACTTCATTTGGTTCAGACATTTTCTGTCTAGGGTTCGCAACAGGCCTGGAGGAAAATGTCCTGTTCCTTTAATAGAGGCTTAATGAATAGAAATAGACAGGTGGAGCTTTATAGCATTGAGGTAAATAGCGGGAATTAAGATTGCTGGGGGAAAGATCAACAACCTCAGATATGCAGACGATACCACTCTAATGGCAGAAAGTGAAGAGGATCTAAAGAGCTTCCTGCTCAGGGTAAAAGAGGAGAGCGCAAAAGTGGGCTTGAAGCTCAACATCAAAAAAACTAAGATCATGGCATCCGGCCCCATCAATCCTTGGCAAATAGAAGGGGAAGTCGTGGAAGTAGTGACAGACTTCATGTTCCTGGGATCCCAGATCACCGCAGACTGTGACAGCAGCCATGAAATTAAAAGACGCCTGCTCCTTGGGAGGAAAGCGATGGTGAACCTAAACAGCATGATAAAAAGTAGAGACATCACCCTGCCAACAAAAGTCCGCATGGTCAAAGCAATGGTATTCCCAGTAGTCATGTATGGCTGCGAGAGTTGGACTATAAGGAAGGCCGAGCGCCGAAGAATAGATTCTTTTGAACTATGGTGCTGGAGAAGACTCTTGAGAGTCCCTTGGACTGCAAGAAGATCAAATCAGTCAATCCTAAAAGAAATCAACCCTGACTGTTCCCTGGAAGGCCAGATAATGAAACTGAAGCTCAAATACTTTGGCCACCAAATGAGAAGGGAGCACTCACTGGAGAAGACCCTGATGCTAGGAAAGATTGAAGGTCAAAGAAGACGGGGACGGCAAAGGATGAGAGGGTTAGACAGTGTCATAGATGCAACAAACATGAAACTGAGCAAACTTCAGAGGACGGCGGAAGACAGGAGGGCCTGGCGGGAGCTGGTCCATGGGGTTGCGAAGAGTTGGACCCGACTGTGTGACTGAACAACAGCAACAACAAAATAACACAATTTGGGAAATAACATCCAACCTATGTATTAACAGAACAGAACCCTACTCCTATTTCAGTTCTAGAGTCAGTCACTCCCCAGCACTTTCCTGTCGGAAAGTATGGCCTTTGTTTTCCTCTTAGATGATACAGCAATCATCAGTTTGTGAACCACAAGGCCAAGAATATTCTTTTCAGTACTGGATTCTTGCCTGCTTTGAATTTTAGTGGCCTGTTTACTGCTCCTGCTGCTGAATAGCATGCTTGATCTGTCTGCTATATGTAGTATCCTGATCCCACTGCTTTGTTTTTACATTTATGTAATACCATTTTCTGCATTGTTTAACATATCATGTCTAATGCTTTATGCTTTGAAACAAAGTCTGAAACATTCTGTAATCTCGGTCCTATTACATTCCTTATTAGCTGTCTCATACTATTGATTGACTGTGCAATTCACCTTGTCTCCACAAGAAAGATAAATAAATATGTAAATAAACAGAATTGTTACTGTTACATTCTGTTGTGCATATTCCACCTTCTCTTCAAGAACTGGTTCTATACGCAGTAGCAACTGGTCATATTGTCTATGCTGGACACTGGAAGAAAAATTTGCTCCCAAGTAAAAAAAGAGTAGCTAGAGAAATTAAATAGGCTTTATATGATCAAACTGATGGCTTATTTAAAACAAATAACCTCTAGAAATATTGTTATTTGAGACAAATGAGACAAATCTTGGTTTATATAGCTTGGAGGTAGCGATTAATCCAATTTTTATATTCTGCATATCTCACTGAATCATGACTTGAAATGCTACATCTATAGCATATCAATTTTCTGCTCGACATGTAAAAATTACTTTTTTCTCTTCATTTGGGCATGAACAGAATAAGAGATGGCACAAGCTGTGAGATCTCTGCAAATTATTGCAATTAAGTTGGAACTTTATTCAAAGACAAAGGGTGCTCCCCAGAGGAAGAACATACTTTGAAACAATGTCCTTCTGAAAAGCGACGAAGTCCATTGGTGTTGATTCAAGCCCGTAATGCAGCAGAAACATTTCTTGTATACCACCAAGTTAACTAGTCACTGTATGCTCATGTCTTCTAGGAGGTGAGACTCACGCTGTCCCTTCAGACCTTCTGGAGCAGAGAAAAGACATTTTTACTCCAGAAGGCCTTTGAATGAATGTTTTGATAAATTTTGTGTGTATTTTACTGTGATTTTATTAATTCTGTGATTCTGAACTGCCCTTGGTGTAGGGTTGCCAGGCTAAACCCCCAGGAAGAATTGGGAGCAGGGGCTGCGTACTTACATCATTTCTGGTAAAAAAATTTTACCGAAAATGATGTAAGCACACAGGCACAGTGTTGGCCAATGTTCCCGTTAAGCTGTGGGGGTCTTGTGAGCAAAAAGTCTACTTTGTGAGCTACTAGCATTAAAGTTGTGAGCAAGCAATATGGCTAGTGCATAAATTAGCTTGCTCTGGAGCCATCCTTCCTGAGCTAAGACAAAAAATGTGTGAGCCGGAGGCTGAAAAACTGTGAGCTAGCTCACACTAACTCAGCTTAGAGGGAACACTGGTGTTGGCGTGCATTCATCCCCTCCGTTTCTTCTTGCTGATGCCCAGGTTGCTAGTGAGCAATGAGAGGAAGTGCTGGGAAGCCTCCCACTATAACATCCCTAGCCTGGCAACTGGTGGGAGTTCAGGAGGATGAGGATGGGGAGGGGGGTTGATGTCAGCAATGGTATGATGTCATTTTCATTGAAAACCTCGAAGCGGCATCAGGTCTCTCTAGGAATCATCAGAAACTCTATGGGGGGGAAGATGCCAGCCCTACCTTGGTGTCCTTAGTGGTTAGGAAGGCAGTTATATAAACAACCTAACTAGCAAATATATAATGTTTCCTCCCTAATATTGGTAGAAATAAATGTGTGATAATCATTCTGAAATGATAGGTAACTGGCCCTTTCCCTCTCCCACCCTTCCCTAGGTCCAGGCAGCAAGAAGAAACCATCAGGGCCCTGCGGCCATCTTGGATCCTTGGCTGCCCTCAAATATGCAGTGGTCGGGCTCTACTTGCTGGTGTTCCTGATTCTTGTGGGTGTCTTTATCTTAGCAGGTAGGAATGGAATAAAGAATCTTCATGTTCTTATGTTCTTATGTTCATCCACTAGAATTCCAGCTTACGTTGCCATTCTCATTCCTCTCACGCTAAAGTCCCCTCAAGTTCTAGCTGTGTTGTTTCAAAATGTTTCTGTCCTAATGTGCCGAATCCCCTTGCCATACCACACTGGTTTGTTTCCATGGCCTTGTGTTTACTTGTGCCACCACACAGACTTTTGGGCGTAGTTAAGGGAAGATAAAGCTACAATGCGAAACACAATGAGTAATCGTTGGACCAGGAAAGAAAGATGTGTCAAAACCAATCTGGGATGCAATGAACCGAGTGAGATTGAGTGGGTGGCCGCAAACCATCTCGAGAGTCTTTGGGCTCAAGCTTTGGGTTTGTGGGTTGGGCAGCTGCCACTGGAGTATGTTCCCAGAATGTCTGGAAGATCTAAAATCAAATGTTCGTGTCTCTGCCAAGACGACAAATCAAGCATGGTACTAGAACATCCCAAAGTCTGAATGCCGTAGGATAGTCCCCAGGATACCACAGATCTCCAACTTGGGAAGAGAAACAACCCGCCCACGGATATGTTTGATTTCTGATGTCTCCCTCAAAGAAACATTTTGAAGTATAATCAGAGATATAGGCTGTCTGTTGCCATTGTTACACTAGAGAAGGGACGGACAGTCAATCCTTGGACCAGAGTCCCATAACTCAGGCCCAAAGTGACCCAAAGAACCCAAAGAAGAGCCCTGTTAGATCAGACCAACAGTCCATTTTGTCTAGCATCCTCTTTCCAAGAGTGGACAACCAGATGCCCTCAAAAGGCCCACAAACCATAGGCATAAACTATGTGGGGGGGGGGAGTTCAGGCACTGGCACCTCCCAAAAATTTTCCAGGGAGGACTGAGGGCAACCAGTGCCAGCCAGAGCTTTGCCACCCCCCACCCCATTTTGAAAGTGGAGGGTTTTTTCCCTCCGCTTTCAGAGACTTCAGGTGGGTTGGGGGGGAAGTCAGGGTTGGGGCTTGCTACCTGGAAGCTAAGCCCCACCCCCAGCTCCCGGAAGCCCTCAGTTGGGCCTGGAGGAGCTGGGGGCTGCACATTGAGTGGCTTCCCGTGCAGAGAAAGGTAAGGAGCTGGCCTGGGGCAGCGAGGGTGGGGGGATGTTTTCGGGGGTGGGGGTGGGCAAAGAGTGCCCAGGCCGGCTGCAGCCTTTGTAGCCGGCTGGGAGGCTTTCCCCCCATGGACTATGGAGGCCGCAGCCGGTCTGGGGCTTTCGTTGGGTCTTAGGCAGCCATGTGGGGGGATTGGTTGGGGGGGAGGCCAACATCCATGGAGGATTGCTGGCCTTGGGATGGCTGGGTGGCTGGGCGCCCTTCCTGTGGCCTCGTGCTGCTGTTCTTTCCCACTCCCCACAAGGCTTGCCTTGGGTAGCCATGCGGGGAGGTCCTTTCTTTCTTCCCTTCCCTTCTGTCTTTCACTTCTCTGTCCCCATCTATTTGCTTTCTTTCCCCTCCCTCCCTCCTTTTCCATCTCTCCCCTCCCCTCTCTCTACTTCTCTCTCTCTCTCTCTTCATTCCTTCCTTCCTACCCTTCCCATTTACTTTCTCTCCTTCCTTCCTTCCTTCCTTCCTTCCTTCCTTCCTTCCTTCCTTCCTTCCTTCCTTCCTTCCTTCCT